GACCTTCCGGTTTTTCAAGATAAGCCTGAAATCAGATTTTCACGTGTTAGTGTCAACACATTCCACAATTTAAAACAGCTGGGCCGAACACAACATGCCTGCGGACTGATGCTGGCTGCAGGCCCCCAGTTTGTGCATATGGATCTGGGAGCATTGCATTAAGGATTAGTCACCTTGGAAGCCAGTCTGCAAAGGGTAGGGCAGAGGCATCATTTGCTTCTATTTTCACACATGATGAGGACAAAGCAGGTGCCCAGAGATGGAACACGGGAGTCACCTACCTACTCATAAATTTAATCTAGCACATAGTCACTTCCCACCATAAGCCAGGCCCAGGGCCGGAGATCCAGTGGCAGACAGTGCCTGCTCTTGGGGACCCTATGTTCTAACAGGAGAGATGTGCTTGAAACAAATAATTGTGTAACAGTGACATTTGTGATACATGAGGGGCTGCAGGATAGCAGTGAAGGTTGAAAGTTTGGGTTTGATTTCTGATTCCACCACTTGGCTATTTGTGACCTAATAGTTGCCTCATTCCTCCCTGTGAAATGGGCAAGATAACCTCATGAGGTTTGTTCTGGGAATTCATTGAGATAATGCAAATAATTATTAGCTGCTGCCACTAAGGAGAGAGCAGAAGAGGGGAACCTAGGCTTAGCATGGGGAGCCTCCACCAAGCCCACATCTCAGTGAATACTGAAGCTTTTTGCTAACAATGGAGGCAGATGGCCACAGGTGTCGGAAGCCCCAGGCCCAGAAGCTGCCTTCACCAGCAGTAGCTCAGCCTCTCTCCACACACACACCACTCTGCTGAGATGGCTGCAAGGGGACACCTAGCTCATTTCTCGCCTGTTTCTTCTTCCCTTGGATCTAATTTCAACAGCCCACTCATCTCAGTAGGATTTTGTGCCCAAGGACAGAAAAGGTACTGCTCTTGGCGATGCCAGGAAAAGGCTAGACCTTTCCAGCTATGAGCTAGAGCCCTTCCCCTGAGGCTGCTGCATTTTGGAGTTCATCAAACCCTACAACTATGTTTTGTAAATCTATGTACAAAAAAAGTCAAAATCTTTCCTTTGCTCCTATGTGCTTTGGCTGGCAGAGGCCTAAGGCATGGGGACCTTCTGTTTTACTTGAGGAGGAAAGGATCAAGAGACTTGGGCTCACCAGAAGTGTGTCTGGGGCCTTGGAGTTCAGCTCAGTTGGGGAATACTCAGGGAGTCTTGCACTCTAGCCAGGTAGAGAATCACAATCTTGGATTTGGCAATGAACTTCCAGTGTACCTAATCCAACCTGCATCCACAAAGAGAAACACCTCTATAAGAAGCTTGGCCTTTGTCTTCAATATTGACCTCTCTCTCAGGCATGTCCAAATAATGAGATGGTCTTATACTGCCTTTTTAAGGTGGCAGCACCGTCTGATTAGGGCTTTCACTTGCTGGCTAAGTCCGTGCACAGTCTGAGACAAAGGGGAATTGTTTGAGACAACAGAGGGACATTGAGCTGCCAGAGCAGTCCCCTTCCCTGTTTAGAGACTGGAGTAAGACTGCCTGGGTTAGGCTCTCTGACTAGCTCAGGACCTTGGACAAGTTACATAATGTTCCTCAGTCTGTTTCTCTGGGCAGTGGAAACTGTGTGCACAGCAATGCCTGGATATTAAGTGCTCCATCAACAGTGGCACTACGTTTTCTCAGTCAACTGTGGAGTTGTTGCTTTCTCTTTCCACACAACTGTGGAGTTATGTGCTTCCTCACGTTCAGCAGCACATGCCCCAGCTCCTCAGTGTAGGATCAGCCACATGTATCACTCCAGAGCCCAGGTCTCTCCCACATGATCCCTGGATCCTTGTTCTGCCCCAGTAGCCCCCTCTGGGGTCTCCAGTCAACTCATCCC